AAACATTGTCAGTATTTGATCCAAACACTATCCTGACGTCATCCTTTTTCAATGTAAACTGACTTGACCCTAGTTTAAAACCTTGGTATACAAGTCCCAGGCCTTTAATTTCTGCCAGTAAATAACAGAGAAAGCATTCCAATATGTTGAAACAACTGCTACCTGATGCCCAAATGCCAAATACCATTTTAGTGTTGAGTAACAACTAGAGCTGCAGCCCAGCAAATAACCTCCAATACACAATTTCACAGTGAAAAAGACTTGGGGTAAAAAAAACCGAGCTCTGCTGCATGTTTAGCTGATTCTGTTCACGCTGTGAGTAACCAACACTCAGAAATACTGGGAAGATAACTTTTGACTTTTAAAGTTTCCGGACATCAGCTTGGTGAATTGGTGGTTCTTCAACGTTTCAGCCTCAGACCCACAAAAGTGCCCAGTAAGTATCCATGAAGAGAACTTTTCCCACTCTCAAGGAACATTATCATTCAACGTAGGTGTGTCAGGAACATACAGGCTTTGCTGACTTCGTTTGCTGTTGTTGGAGTAGCAGTCTAACTGAAAGGAGTGTTAGATGAAGGCTTAATTACAAACCAAACGACTTCAACAACCAACACACTCATTTATGACTAGTGTTTCTTTCTCATGCAGCAATTATGTAGAAAATATACGGTTACAAATCATGTAGAAGCATATGTATTATTTTGACTTCTATCTAAAGACCCCTCACTTGGTGTTTTATGACCCACCACGGGTTCTCATTCCACCTTTGAGAACCGCTGGTGATGAAAAGAGATTTTGCCTGTAGCCACTAGAATAAAATCATCTGAGTTTATGTGGGTGACAGGAAATATGCTCACACCTAGCTGCATATTTCATTTGAATTTAAGAGAGGAGATGACTAGTGTCAATGAGTCATTTTGCCCTTCACAGGACAAAAGATTTCTTTATTATGAGAAAGTGATGTAACTCCGTATGCGAAGGTGATTACCCAACTCTCGTAACGCAGTATTAGTTAGATAGCCTCCTGTGAAAACACAGCACCTTTAAAACTCCCTAAATTTTGTATTGCCTCTTTTTTCTCACCAACCCAACTGAGAAAATTAAATCAAATCGAATAAAGTTTTATATGTAGAGCACTTTATATGATAAAATGAGCACAAAGTGCTTTAGTAAAAAAAGAATTAAATTAAAATGAGCTAAAAATTGTTAAATTTATGAATGAAAAGCCAAGGTAAAAAAGTAGGTCTTGAGCCTCTTTTTAAAAACTTAAATACTTTCACCATCCCTAAGGTTCTCCGGCAGACCGTTCCACAGACGAGGGCCGTGTAGGAAAATGATGCTTCGCCGTAAGTTTTGGTTAGAACTTTTGGTTTGACTAAAAGGCCAGTAGTGGAGGACCTCAGGGTCCGCGGGGGCTCATAATTTAAGAGAAGGTCAGCTAAATAGGATGGTCCAAGGCCATGGAGACGTTTATAAACCAATAAAAGAACTTTAAAATTGATCCTAAAATGTACAGGAAGCCAATGCAGCGATTTTAAAACTGGTGTAATATTCCTGAGAGAAGACATGGGATGGATCGGAATGCATTATTTAAACATTTGCATCTTGTTTTTGAAAAAGAAAGGTAATGACACGTGGGTCTTTCAGAAGAAGAAAAAGTGTTGGTCCGTTGATTATTTGTACTTAATTTTACTGAAATAAGGTGAATTTTACATAAAAAAAATTTTTGACCAAACATTCCAAAAATTAAGAGTAAAATCTGGATCAGTGACCACCATTCTCGTCATTTACAGTGGGGCAAAAAAGTATTTAGTCAGCCACCGATTGTGCAAGTTCTCCCACTTAAAATGATGACGGAGGTCAGTAATTTACATCATACACTTCAACTGTGAGAGACAGAATGTGAAAAGAAATCCATGAATTCACATGGCAGGATTTTTAAAGAATTTATTTGTAAATCAGGGTGGAAAATAAGTATTTGATCACTTTAAACAAGGAAAATCTCTGGCTCTCACAGACCTGTAACGTCTTCTTTAAGAAGCTTTTCTGTCCTCCACTTGTTACCTGTATTAATGGCACCTGTTTGAACTCATTATCTGTATAAAAGACACCTGTCCACAGCCTCAAACAGTCAGACTCCAAACTCCACTATGGCCAAGACCAAAGAGCTTTCGAAGGACACCAGGAAAAGAATTGTAGAGCTGCACCAGACTGGGAAGAGTGAATCTACAATAGGCAAGTAGCTTGGTGTGAAAAAATCAACTGTGGGAGCAATTATCAGAAAATGGAAGACATACAAGACCACTGATAATCTCCCTCGATCTGGGGATCCACGCAAGATCTCATCCCGTGGGGTCAAAATGATCATGAGAATGGTGAGCAAGAATCCCAGAACCACACGGGGGGACCTGTGGACGGAGTTGAAAGTCCGTGTTGCTCGGCGACAGCCCCAAAACATCACTGCTCTCGAGAAGATCTGCATGGAGGAATGGGCCAAAATACCAGCTACTGTGTGTGCAAACCTGGTAAAGACCTATAGCAATCATTTGACCTCTGTTATTGCCAACAAAGGTTATGTTACAAAGTATTGAGTTGAATTTTTGTTATTGATCAAATACTTATTTTCCACCCTGATTTACAAATAAATTCTTTAAAAATCCTGCCATGTGAATTCATGGATTTTTTTTTTCACATTCTGTCACTCACAGTTGAAGTGTACCTATGATGAAATTTACTGACCTCTGTCATCATTTTAAGTGGGAGAACTTGCACAATTGGTGGCTGACTAAATACTTTTTTGCCCCACTGTATGTGCCCCACCCACACAATACACACTCTTTTGAAATCAAAATTAATTCCTAGTAAAGGTATGTAGCAATATTTTAGCGACGCTAAGCAGATTTTCAACACTTTAACCAATCCCTTTACAAGTGGGGTTCAGTGATTGTGTTACCTTTACCAATTTCACATGGGACAGCACTCTGCAGCCCTCTACTGACAACAAACAGCACTTAACAATTTTGTTGAGTTGATAGGTGCCCTAAGGGGCACTCTTTACCTGCGTAACAGCTGTTAGCTCTTTTCTGGGCCAGAAGCTAATTGAACTCCTTCGCTGCCAGCCGTTTCCTGACCGGTAAAGCCCTTCGCTGCCAGCATTTCTCACCATTTTTACTGTTTTTTTTAAGAGTGACAAAACATTGCAACGCCAAAACAAAGCGGAGACTCACTTCTTACATCAGGAAGAATCCGCGCGTTTCGAGCCTTACGCGTTCTTTCATAATCCGTTGTTGAATTGTGATTGGCAGCTTTTCCGGTTCGCACCTCACCTTTTTTTACAGCAGCGGCCCAAAACGATCTCCTACCACATGGATTTTCTGCTTCCTGATCACGTGACGTGTGACGTAAGCAGATGAAGATCGGCTTTAGAGCTGAGATGTTTGTTCTCATGGTGCGGGGGCTCGTTCCGACGCCCACACAGTAAAAACAAGCAAATGACGACTTTAGTCATCAATGGCAGTGAATGAGTTAAAGGCTAGCAGTCAGCTTTTTCAATTTGCCAGCTGTCAATTAAAAACAGAAGAAGAAGAAAAATAACTTCTTGATGGTATCATGCCTGAAAGTAAAAGTCAGAGAGTGATGTTGCTGAAGCAACGAGCTAAAGCCAAAGCAGGAACATCAAGGCAGCCTAGTTTGAGGAAGCTAAAGGAGGCTACAAAATCACGGGCTGATGGTGACCTGGTTATGTTGCTAATGGTCAGGGGCGGATTTAGGACTGAAGAAGATCCAGAGCTTAACACACACACACGTGCACACTCATGCGCGTGCACACACACGTGGCACGCACTAGTCAACATATATATTTGTCTTGTACCACATAATTTTTTAATCTGAAGCTACATATTAAGCATTTTTAGGGCAGAGTATTGTTCCTGTTAGTGTTTAGTGTGAGATGATAGTAAATATTCCCGCGTTCTTTCTCCAACAACTTTACCTGATAGTAAGCTAACTTTAGGCAAACCAGCAGCACAACAAATATTTTCAAATAAGACTCACAAACCTGAGTCAACACCAGTCTCATCAAAGCTGGGGTTCTGTTGTACCTTTTGTCTAAAAAATGTCCTTATGTCCGTCTTCACTCATGCGTTTCAGACAGAGTGTGGAAGAAGCCGGCTGCTGAAGGGCTTCTTCTTCAGTGGTGGAGGCTCAGGCAGGCTGTATACAAACTACTGCCAGCTGCTCCCTCTCTGTTGGACTATGGTACTGCATGTTACTTCCGCGATTTAGATCCGGGGCTTTTCATAAAACATCCGGGGCTTCAGCCCAAGTAGCCGGGCCTAACGCCACCCCTGCTACTGGTAATCTTTTTGTCCACCACTGACGATCGTTTAAATTTATGGCTTATTTTGAATCATTTGGCTCATGTTACTGTTAGCTCATTGTTAGCGCTAGCCACAGCAGACTGCTGCAGGGTTGTTTTGACAGTTGTAATTACACTTTCAATCAGAAGGATGGAGAAGCTGTTTAGTGATACTTTAACTGTATTTTAATAATATGTTGAAAATGTGCAATAGGTGGTCTTAAATGGAAACACAAACAAGTACCAGTATTTACATAGCAAATATGGTTAAAAATGTTCATTATTATTATTTCTTTTTTTTCCCAAAAGTTAACTATGTTAACCATTATCAGTGGACCCCATTTTTCAGTTGGCCCCCACCTGGCCCCCTTTTAAATCGGTATAGACGCACCCCTGCATTGGGGACAATCACATCTACTCCATTCACGCTTAATAATGTGAGCTTATTAGTGTTGAGAACATACTTTGTTGTACTTCCACTGACAGCCATGTCTATGTTAGTCAGCGGTGACCAATCAGTCCATCACCCCGCTCACCTGAACCTGCGCTCTGAGGCGCGTCTCGCGAGGCGCCTCTCCAACACCGCCCAACGGAGAAGGAGGTTGCGGTTCTGCGCAGGGGGAACTTCATTTATCACTTCCTTTCCTCGCTTATCTGTCACGGGCGTTCTTGTAAACGCGGGGTCCCCCTCCCCAGCCCCCACCGCATTTGGATCTCACACTCTTGAGCGGTTGCGCCGCGCACGCATCTGATGGATCATACTAATTCAGCAGTGAACCTCTCTGGGTAGATGAGGCGCAGCGCAGCATTGGAGCCGGGCTCTGTGCCTGCGTTTGGGTGAATGTGCTCTCCTGAAACAAGAGAGCCGGAGGAAGAAGTAAAAAAGGGGGAGATAATAAGGAGGAGAGGCGGGAACGGATTGGGATCCTCTTTGTGAAATCGATCGATCAGCATCTCCCTTCGTGGACTGAATGGACGTTTGATCAGTGGATGTGATGCCCATTTATGTCATCGACCGAAAATTTCCTGACATATCTGGTAAGAGGAATGCTGACAATTTTGGTGCCATCTGCGCAGGTCGGTGCGAGCGTTTGGCGTTATGTTTCTGCACGTGCGCGCTCACCACCACCATTATATTATCATTTTTTGCATGTGCGCGTTTGCCGGGTGGATAAGTGACACGGAGCAGCGTGCACCAGTTGATCATGCCACCCCTCTCGGAGTTCCTTACGTGCAACAGGAGATGCAGCTGGCACGCATCCAGCTGCCCGTTCCTGGAGCTGCAGTTGTGTATTTTTATCACTTGGTCTTGGACTCCTTGGAGAATAAGTGCATGTTGGGTATCCTGCAGAGAGTGTGTTAGGTGCAATAAACCTTTAAAAGTTATTCTTACCTTTGCGTTGATGCTGCTTTTGCAAGAAGCCCTCATCAGGAAACCGGTTTGGGATGATCTCATCACCTCTGGGCATTATGGCTCCAAAAGGTGATTTGAATTTCCAGGATTTGTGTTTAGTGACATCATAAAAGCAGCCCTGTGTTGACATGTTTGTGCACACATGGGTGTTTTCAGGTGTCACGCTGAATGATGGGTTTGATCTTTAAGGAGTTGCTGAGCTGCTACTGTTTTCAAGTCAAACAGATAAGTGGAGAAACTTTTGTCTCCCTCGGTGTTCCTTCAAAAACCCATAAATGCAATTTGCAGTATTAAAGACGTGTTATACATTCCTCCCTCTCATTTTCACAGCATAAACACCCTTAAAGGCACATTTGTTATGCATATTTGTTGCTTTACTGAAGCAGAGGGTGACTTTGAACATTTCTAATCCTTAAAGCAAAACAACCGTTATGTTTGAGTGATAACATGTTGCAGAGACACAGCCAGCACCTTTTCTGCAAAACACCTCACTTCAACACAGTTTAACACGCAGGTTACACCTCTGCTATGCTCTTTGCACATTAAGCTTCGTTTTGAAGGCTCATTCCTTTTTTTAAAACTAAATCCAACTCAATTACTCTGCGTGCAAAGTGTCCAGAACGGAGTGAAGGGAGATAATGTACAGCCTCTCCAGTGCTGACATGCACATACGGTTTTATTAGAGCTGTGGGACCGCTGTCACAGTGATCTGTTTCCTCACTGACAAACTTTCTGCCTTCTTCTCCTGCAGTCCGAGAGGAGCTGACAGGAAGTTTTGATTAGTATGTCAACTAGTGTCATCCCACTGTCTTATCGCCTCGTTTTATGCCTCAGATGTGTCATTTTTCACTAGCCTGCCTTCTGATTGTAGCATCCAGTCGCCACTCCGCTGTCGTAAATCTTATGATGTCACGCATGTTTCGGTGTTGTTGTGGAGCAGAAAAAAAACTGCATGGAGGGAGAAGTGTGAACAATAATGTGGTTCCATAATGACCATAATCAGGCGAGTTTACATTACGTTGGCCTATTGTTTTGTCAGGGTGAGGAGAGATAGACAATCTGTTATTCTGTGTGTGTGTGTGTGTGTGTGTGTGTGTGTGTGTGTGTGTGTGTGTGTGTGTGTGTGTGTGTGTGTGTGTGTGTAGTAAATGATGTGTGTTTTTCTTCAAAGAGTGACTTTGGTCATATAATGTTCTCATCCCAGTCTGCTCTTGTTGACCCACCCATCTGCAGACTCCTCACATACTTGGTTGTAAAAGTGTGTTAGAAGCTCACTTTGTGTGTGTGTGTGTGTGTGTGTGTGTGTGTGTGTGTGTGTGTGTGTGTGTGTGTGTGTGTGTGTGTATTGTGTGTGTGTGTGTGTGTGTGTGAGAGAGAGAGAGAGAGAGAGAGAGAGAGAGAGAGAGCGAGAGAGAGAGAGAGAACGCGTGTGTGTCTGTGTGTGCGCCTGTGTGGCATTGTTAAAGGATTAAGGATTAATTGCCTTCAGACCTTCAGAGATAGACTTAACTGCTTGTTACATGAACTTTTAAAAGTTCTCCCTTGGCCCCTGAGTGGAAAGCAACACTTTTTCTCGGTGAGGAGGGAAGGGAACAGTCTCGTCTGTTCTCTGCGTTCTCTGAAGTGTGTTTCTTGATTTTTATTTAGTCTGGAGTGCGCAGCCACAGGGGTAAGAGCTTCACTCATTGCCACCTTTTTGCCCCTTTTCCCCTATTTGTCCTCTCACTCCTGTCACTTGTCTCTCATTTTGCCTTTTCCACTTTTTGTCTTCACTTTTTTTGCGTGTTCGCAAGGCAAAAGAAGAGGAAATCATCAAGAATGTTCACTTGAATAATGTGAAATATTATGTTTCATTTGAAAATATTCACTTTTTGAATGTAGCATCATTAATGTACATCCAGACTTGGAAATTGAAATGGTTCTGACAGGATCAAACATTCTTGAAATACCTTCAGTTTTTGTGTTATTTTTCCATGAATCTTGACATCAGTATTTCATCTCCTGGTTGTTTTCATTATCGGTAATTTATGCCTGAATTCTTAATAATCACCTGGTGAGTAACAAAATCAGAGAAAACAGTGATTAGTCATTTCTCAAAGTCCAAATCTATAAATTTTGTGTTACTAGGAATATGAGACCAAGCACATTCTGACTCCCACCTCTCAGTGCTCCCTCAGGAACCCCTGGGTGTCACATTTTGTTACGGTTCAGAGGCACAAGCTGAAGGGCTTCTACGAAGAAGCTGGAGTTTGAGACTTACAACTGAGCTGTCTTTATATTGATATTTTATAGTGAAACTTTTTCTGACCTCATGGATATTTTACTAGAGTTATAAAAAAAATAGCTTTTTAACACGCCTGTAATATGAAATAGGAATCAGAAAAAAATATTTTTCTAAAACAGTTGAATAAGTATCAGTTAATACAACTATAATAAGCAGTTATTTGATTATGTAATTTTTTGAAGGTGCAACAAGTAATAATTTTACAGTGAAATAATCCCAAAACAGGTTAATTTCTCAATCGTGTTGGAAGGAAGGTCACACTGAAACAAATTTCCTTCATGCCGGCTGAAGCGCTGTCATTTTTTTCTTTAAAGAAAAAAACAAAGAGGAACGTCGTCTGTGTTTACAATCTGTCCTGCCCCCATACTTCCTGGTTTCAGAGCCAATCATACTTGAGCCCACTGGGTTGCCAAGTCTGTGTCGGCATTTGTAATTCAAGACCAGTTACCAAAAGCAGCAGCCTTGTGGGAAGAAAGTTAAAAGGAGAAGCCCAGATGTTATTTCTTGTACCCCCTAAGAAGCCACATTTGTTTTACTCTAATAAAGGGTGATGCAGGCTAGAGGCTAACGTTGAGCTAACAACGCTAACGATAAATAAAAAAATAAATCAGCTCTAAACTATCTCAAGCTTCTTTTAAAATGACCAACAACTCAAAATGACAGTTAGAATCAGTTGGTTGGAAACATCAAAAACTGAAATTGGCAAAGAGAAAAAAGTTCTGACTTCAACGTTGGTGGATAAAAATACATTTTATGATTCAGACAGTATGAAATCCGAAGGCATAACAGTATTAAAGGAATTTTTCAGCAAACTTGAGGTTTATCTTGGGATTGAATTTGTAAATAGTTACAACCTTTCCTGTTTCAAACACACTCCTGAACAGCCTCTGTTTGGAAAAAAAATTTGGTGCAATCGAGACCATTTATAAAACTATGTTTGGATGAACTGCCATTGAATTCAGAGGATTGTTTGAATTAGCAGCAACCCATTTTAGAGTTGGGTTCATTTAGATCAACCCGGTACCCATGGGGTACAGGCTGAAAAGCTATGATATCGTTAGAAAAGCAGTAAAATACAGTTAAACATGAAGTTTAGTTGAACTCTGACCTTCTCTAATTCGTAGGTCAGTAATGTCCCCATGACAAAGGGTGTTTGTCACTGTGAAGGCGCCTGGCCTCGCAAGGCGATGTCTTGCAAAGCCAGCCGCCTTGCTTACGAGGACACTGTCCTTCCTTGGTCAAAGAAAATGGTTAAATGGAACAGACTTACATCATGTCATGTGACACCGAAGCTAGCATTATATTTTATACGTTTAAGTTTCAATGTAAATGTATAACAAGACTTTAACTTTTTAAATTGTGTATATATTTGTTAAATTAAATATGTAAGCGATTTACTACCTGCTAGACACCAAAGCTGCAACTACTAAGCAACTAACCAACCATGGATAACTGCTTGAATAAAAAAACAAAAAACAAAAAAAACATTTCAGATATCAACCCGATAGCTGCAATTAGCTGACTTACATTTAAACTAGAAATTTGCCCCCGAAGTAGCTGCTGGCTCTTGATCCACCATCTTTTTGAAAATACCATGCTGTATTCTGGGTACTATCTGACTAAGGCTAAGCTCCAAGGCACCTCCCGTGTATCCTTGCTCAGCTAGCTAAACGGCTAACAAACAGAGAACAGACGCCTTGGTAGAACAAGAACATTGGAATACACCTTGGTGGTTCCTGATGACATATCTCCTAGGTAGGGATGGGTACCGAATTCGATACTTTTTAAGGTACCGACCGAATTCCATAGTACCGACCGAGCATCGATTCACTTCATTTCAAACGGTGCCTCATTTTGGTACCTGTCCATCATAACGAGAACTTGCCAAGACAGCTGCACATGCGCAAGAGCGTTATGTCGTCGGTCGCTGCGAACCAGTTGTAAACAGAGCAGCATGGTAGAAAGAACGCAGGCTAAAGCTTGGGTCCACTTCACTAAATGTGATGGGTAACTGGATGATGATGAAACCAGCGACAACGATCTAAGTGAGACATCCTCATCTTAATCTGCTCCGGTAGGTAAATATAATTAGCTTGATATGTTAGCTTCCATTTCGCTAATGGTGCGTTCGCTTTCTCCTCGGAACTCCGAATTTCCGACTAGAAGAACATGAACGCGCTCTAAAGTTTGGCTTCACTTTACTGACGGGTGAAGACGAAACCAGTGACAACGATCTAAGTGTGAGGCATCATCGTTTTAATCTGCTCCAGCAGCTAAATAAACAGGTTAAGATAACGTTAGCTTGGTATGTTAGCCTCCATTGCTACCATTGTTATCAGCTAATGGTGCGTTCGCTTTCTCCTCGGAAATTCTAACTTCCCAGTAGGAAAAATCAAATGAAAAAAGACGGTAAAAGGAATGAAGATACACAGTAAATTTAGTTCACAGTAAAGATGTTTGCTTCAGTTTAGTTATCAGCTTATAAAACTACAAGGACGATGTTAAAATACAAACAGTTGTATGTTATTTATCGTGATATATCAAATATGGTTATATATTGAGAAAAATATATATTTAATTATAAAAGAGAATTAAAATAATAAACACTCAAAAGTATCAAAAATTGGTACCGTTGAGTACCGGTATCGATTCGTAGGTACCGGGAATTAGTACCGAATCGATTCAAATGTCAAAGGTACCCATCCCTACTCCTAGGCAACCGGAGCGGAACCAAGACATCAAAGCAAGGTTCCTTGACATTGAGAAGCATCAAATCATTTGTGTATCAGCTTGGTAGCTCTATGTATGGCTTAGCACTCTTGAAGTAGCTCTCAGCTTCACCCCTGATTTTAAATTTAGTGATCCCTGATTTAGACTGTGTTTTCAGCTTGTGCCCTTACCACAGTGATACAAGCCTATCCATTCAATTATGGTCTCATGTCTTCTAAAAAGGTAGTCTAACTGGACAAACATCCAATTTAGACATTTACATTACCTGCTATTAGACTTTGGAGCTTTTTTGGGTTGGCAGAAAAGTTCTCTGGTCTAGCCATGAGCTCACGGGTCCTGTGGGGTGTAAATACCATAGTTCCAGACAAATACCGGTCAGGAAGATACCTACAGTAGGTAAAATAATAATTATTTATACCTTTACACAGACAAACACCTGAAAGAGGCTACGCTATGCTTCAAACATCATCTTTTCATGTAGACCGCAGATTCCTCATGACTCATTATGTATCATATGAAGTTCAGTTAGCATGAACACAAGGTATGGAACCAGTTTTGACTTTTGTTATGCTCCCAAAGTCATAACAGCATTTACGTGCTTGAAAAGAACCCCAACAAAGGCCAGCCTCCACATAAAAAAAGGGGTCAAGCCACATATCACCCAGTTTACATTTAGAAATCAACACTGAATTCCTGGTCAATGCTCTCGGGGCAAGACGACACATTTCTTTGTTCAGCAACAAGTTTCCCATCCATTTTTTGCGTTACCGTAGCGATAGCAGCATTGCTAGTTAGTTACGGTCTCATGGTGTCTACTAAAACGGTTGGGAAACTTCTATCAAATGTCTACTGAGGTCTAAAGGCGTCGCTGCTTTTAGAACATCGACACCAAGAGGCAATACCCAAATGACGATCTGGAGGAAGAGCTGGCGGGAGTCAGATATTATCCTGGTAGAGAAACAAGACACTACAACAGGGAAGATTTTTGATTGTTCATTAAACTAATTGGTTATTCTCTCTGTAGGTGAGTTGTTACAGCCGGCCGGTGAAGGAGGAGATCTGAGAATGACAGAAACGAATACTCCCAAATCGGCGAAGAAGCTCCGCTGGACCTCGTTGGAGATCGGTCTCATTACAATCGTCTCTTTGCTCTTCATCGTCATTGTTGCCCTCATCATCCTCTTTGCCACTCAGAAGACTGGTGAGTGTGATGGGGGATGCAAGCTGATGATAAAAACAGTCATTTGAGCTCTTTTTAAAATATTTGGGTGATTAAAAATCAATCAGAATCAGAATCAGAAGGGTTTTATTGCCATTTGTGTGAGAAATCACACCATCAGGAAGTTGCTGCGGTACTTGGTGCAAAAAGAAACATAAAAATAAGAGATAAACAAATATAGGAAGTAAGAAAATAATCATAATAACATAATAATATGAGTGGTAATCATTAGAGAAATGGCTACTATATATGAAACAAAACAAACAAGACAAGACAAACAAAAGAACAAAACAAATTCAGCATGTCAGAAAAACGTTTTTCAGGAGCAATAATGAAGCAGTCACCGAGGTATCAAGTGGTCCACTTAGAACTTTTTAAGAGTTCCTTCAGACTGTTTATTTGCACTGACCATCAGTTCCAGTTAAGTTCACGGTTAATGGAAAGCACAGGAGGGCTGCACTTTGCTCCGATACACGAGACGCTTGAGCTGCACGCTTTTAAGCACAGCATTTCAACACGGCAAGAACATGTACAAAGGTTGCACATCTCAAAAACACTCAAATTTCATCTTTATTTTGGATGAACTGCAAAGAGCTGTGTAAAATATGTTTTGTGGTGCATTCTGGGAAAAGATCCTTGTTTCAAAACAAGAGAAAAGTTTGAACAAAAGAGCCTCGAATCTCGGTTTTCTGAGCGGGACAAACAGAAAAACCTCACAGGAACTTAGTTGGACACAATTCTTCTTTTTTTTAACTGCCTTGTGTTACATATAATATAGGGGTTTCATTAGTGAGCGTTGAGATTTAAGGTGAGCGATAGAGCAGTGTTTGATTAACAGCAGTCACAAGCAGCAGATCTATAGATTAATTATTGAGAAAGTTCAGCAGGTCATGATTGCAGAATCCTGACAGAAAAGGTCATCTAATTAAGTTTGATGGAGTTTGCTCTGGCTTTTGTTCGCACCAAGCTATTATTATTTTTGCAGTCTTGTGCTTAATAAATGTGTAAGCTGCTTCGTCAGTAAAATAAAAGCTCTGTAGTTTTGCTTGTGCTTGTAACAACGTGTGCTGCCATCGTGTGCGTTCATGCACAACCCACGAAGTGCTAAAGGTCAAATTGCAGTTTGCTGGTGTGTCAGTTAATCCCAGATTCACGTAGATTAGTCCTAAAGTGACTGAGTTAAAGCAACATTTTGAAAATATTGCGAGAGAAGTAAGAAATAAATGAAAAAGGATTAAAAACGAGGTGGACAAGAGGGAGGGAATGAGTTTTTCATTGTGACTGATGAATCCCTAAACTCCAGTGATTTGTTTCATGTTTTTTTCTGCAGATGAAATCTGCACCACAGCCGACTGCACGCAGTCAGGTAAGGAGTGTGTGTTTGTGTGTTTTCCCGCTCGCTTTATTGTGTCATTTGGAAGGTTTTGGGTTTTTTTCTCCGAGGAAGATGAAATGAGAGGGTGCTGTAGGATTTTAGAGAGAGAGAGAGAGAGAGAGAGAGAGAGGGAGAGAGAGAGAGAGAGAGAGAGAGAGAGAGAGAGAGAGAGAGAGAGAGAGAGAGAGAAAACAACCGCCTCAAATGTTTCTTCCCATTCGAAACAACTAACAGGCAAAACAAACACCAGCTTGTTGAAGAAAAGTTTGCTTTACTTGAGAAAAAAAAAGAAAATTGGGACATTTTATGTGTTTAAAGGTGCAATAAGTAAGACATTTACAGTGAAACACTCACAAAACAGTCTAATGTCTCAGTCACATTGGAAGGAAGGTTATATTGAAACAGACTTACTACTCGCCTGGCTGAGTGGTGTCAGTTTATCTCCTTGAAAAATTGGTAGAAGAAGGACGTAACCAACATTTACAATATGTCCCACCTTCATACTTCCTGGTTCCAGAGCCAATCATATGAGAGTCCAATGGGTTGCCAATCTGCGCAGGCAAATAGCGCTTCACGGCATTTGTAATTAGACATCGGCCGGAAAAGAGCAGCAATGTTGCGAAAAGAATGGAAGCCAGTAAGAGGAGCGACCCAGAAGCAGAACAAATGTTGTTGCTTTTATATCGTGTAAAGAAGGCTAGAGGCTAACATTGAGCTAACATAGCTAACAGTAAATTAGAAAAAGATCATTGACTCTAAAAATGTATCATGTTACTTATTCCAATTACCAACAACTGGATGTTATAGTAAAATATATTAACTCATCAACTTACTCTGTCTGACAGAATATTCTGACTCTGGCCTGTAACTGGCAACAGATGCTAAAAACGGACTTGTTTTTCTTATACATGGACTGCAGTACCAATATTTGACCATAGGGTGCCATTCTTACTTCATGTATCATTAAAGTAGAATAAATTTAATGTACTGTCTGGAAATTGTTGCTTAAAATCTCCAAATTTTCAGTTATTAGCCTAGATATTATTAAATCTCCTGTTGTTATTATATATATATATATATATATATATATATATATATATATATATATATATATATATATATAAGGTGTAGCTAGATTTATCAAATGTGATGTTTCCAAAAAGCACATTTGTAGGAGTGAAATTAGCAGGAATTAATATGTAAGTCAGCAAAATATCAGTAACTGCAGCCCCAGTTTCAAGCAACATGCCAATTTCTTTCTGATACTTGATTCATTGTTTTGCAGTGCCGGTGTCCCCGTTCAGTCAGATTTGACAGTCAGTTTTCTGACAAGCGATTTCTTAGAAGCATCTAGCAATTTAATTGCAACTCAGAAAGAGTCAACATATTTTCCACCGCTGGCGCGGAGCCAATTACTGCTATACAACAGTTTGTTCCTCATAAACGGTTCCAGATCTCCCGTGTTTTCATCACTCGTCTGTGAACTGTGTCTTAATAACAGAAAACAGCAATTTTTAGAAGAAATGACAGAATCCATTTTATGTGCTCTTTTTGTCAGAGTCACGGTTTGTTCCTGCTACCAGAGCAGCATGGAGTAGTTTTGAGAAGCTTCCAAAGCTTTGCAGCAGGTGGCCCATAATCTCAAATGCACTTCTTTTATTTATTTTTTTACTGCAAGAGGTGCACTGACAGTTTTCTCTCTCTGTGTGTGTGTGTGTGTGTGTGTGTGTGTGTGTGTGTGTGTGTGTGTGTGTCAACATCTTCTGTAACATTTCAGCATATTAAACTGTTCTGTCTTATAGGCTGAGATCAGTGGTCGCATCTATAATTTTATTACAAGACTTTAACCAGAAACTGGTTGGTTTAGTTTCACAGTAAAACTAAAAGCAAACAAAGTCGGTTACTCAACTCTGTTCAAATAAAAACTCACGTTTCATTTTTATTTGTCATTTTAAATCGAGCTGTGTGAGTGTAATTTTTATTTGTTCAGGCTCTTGTGTCTGTTTTCGAATCCAGGGGTGACAGCTCTCCTGGATCGTTTCCATCATTTCTTTGCTCAGATTCACAGTCAGAATAAAAGATCCAGTGCTTTTAGACATATAAAGCGAGCTTTGTGGCTCTTCGTATGTGTAGGAGGATTAATTACCATTACAAAGTGCCTGTTAGCAGCTTTTCTGTAGTGTTCAGCTAATCGGTTGCTGGTTTCATCCTTCAAATGGTTTAAAACACCTGAATGAAAAACTGTCGTAACGTGTTTAGACAAATTTCTTTAGTCGTTTTTTATCTTCTTTTTTAATGAGCTTTTAGTTATTTATGCTTCCTGTTTTATTCTGAAACTGGTTTTCCTCGTTCACCTGGGGTAAAATGATCTCCCATTTTTAGCTGAAACCTGTTTGGCAGCCTGAATGTGACGCACCTGTGTCTCATCAGTTGATTAGCCCCGGTTCTATACCATCTCCTCTCTCCTTGAGCTCTGCCAGTGTTTCATCATGTCTCATGGTGTAGTTCTGGCTCTGCTTGCTCTCGTTAGTTCAAAATGTTTGGTTTCCTGTCTTCCGGTGTCGTCCGTCTGTAAGTTTCTCCTCGCGGCTTCTTCTAAAAAAGAACTGAAGCACATCAGCCTGCACCGTGTCCTTTTGTTTCTGAGTTTGTTTGCCTCCCTTGCAGCGTCTCGCCTCATTGAGAACATGGACTCCACGGTGGACCCTTGTGATAACTTCTATCAGTATGCCTGCGGAGGGTGGCTAAAGAAGAACATCATCCCAGAGACCAGCTCCAGATACAGCACGTTTGACATCTTGCGTGATGAGCTGGAGGTCATCCTCAAAGGTTCGTCAGCTTCAAACCACAGCAGTCAGAAGTTTGGAAGAACTAATCATTCATTATAAATGGACAGGTGTCAACTCCTAGCTGGTGCTGCACATCCTCACAAACAAAAACCTATGGATGAATGAGACAACAGATAATTTTCTTATTGTAAAAGATGTTTTTAGCTCATTTGTTTTGTGTGGTTGAGCTTGGAGTCCCTTCTACGATGTCGGTCATGTGATGCAGTTGATGCACCCATGATCGTGTAAGTGCTGTGTTGGCTTGAGCTCATTTTTCTCAAGCAGTTCGTATGAAGGCTTCTTGAGCTCCGTTAAACCTTCTGGAAGGCCAACCATCCACGACGACTCCGTAACAAATGTTGAAAGTGGTGACCATGTTTTTAGGTCTGGGAGCTTCAGGAGAAATAAAAATTATATTTTTTTAGCAGAATTGAAGGATATGTAAGAATTTTACATCTAGACAAACACTCTAAAGTTGGAAGAATGTTGCCTCCCTCAGTTTTGTGTGGGGGTGGGGTGGAGAATTGCTTGAGAAATTGAAGGTGTGGCTTGAATGTGTGCATGTCGTGGTCAGTGCTTGAGGGCTGTTGGCCCTGGTGCCAGTCTTTGTATTTCAATATCAGCAGGCAAAAGTCTCCAGAGCTGTTTAAAACGAAGAGTAAAAAGGAGCGACCCAGAAGTTATTCTTGTACCCCTATGAAGCCACGGCATCTTATATTTCTAATCATTTTTTTAGTTAAAGCAGGCTAGAGGCTAACATTGAGCTAATGATGCTAATGTTGAATTGGAAGCAAGTGATCTGCTCCAAACATGGATTTTGTTTTTGACAAAATAAAGCTGTCAATTTTATTCTCCTCCCATAGCTATCAAACCTTCCTAAAACTTAATGAAAGTGTAACGGGGACACTTCTTAACATGACATTTTGATAAATACTTTATTTTAATGTGGTTTTGAGCAAAGTCTAAGTGAGGTGAATAAAAACAAAACTTAAGTTTTTGCAGTTGAATTGTTATGCGGAGAGGGTAGCTGCGAGAACTAACCTGAGTGTTGGGTCGAAGTGTAAAGGTTGATGCTTTCTGAATCATTGACTTGATTGCTCTAAATGCTGTTTACCACAGACAAGATGCCAGAGGACTGCTCCTAATCCAACGGCTTGAATCAGTGCTGTGCTCATTCCTTCGGGTTGTGTAGCTCACCAGCCAGAGAAGGAATGTCTTCAGACAGGAAGTGTTTTCTGCTGGCATTTTATAAATGCTTGTGGGTCATTTATTTTATTTTGGAGGTTAACTCTCACTGAAGCTGTGACTGTGAACATGTGCCCTCTAACCCCAGGGTGGGGTGTTGCTGCTTTTGTGGACACACCACCCACTGCCTATAGACTCTCTTCCTGTCAACAGCTGCAGGAGTCTGCAAAACACCTGAACACTGCAGGGCTGTGGTTGTACGACTGCAATAAAAGCGGGAGAACTGTATGGATCTGAAGTTGCTTGTAAATACCTCACATTGTTCTCTGCTGCTATAAGACTATAAATGAACCATAATGAGGGTGCGTGCCCTGGTTGTGACCACCGTAGTGTGGATTTGTCTGTGGAAACCTTTTTTTTTTTCTGGGTTTTATTCTCCAAATTTCAGGTGTCCCATACTGTGAAATGATTTGCCCAATTGCCCATGAGCATTTTAATGACCAGCTTTTTTGGGACGCAGAAGGAGAGAAGTGGAACAGGGAGATTGGGATGAAGGGCTTGTCTAAAAGTTGCAAGTGAGGTGGCAAAGGGTTACTGATGGGTGGAATTGACAAGTGGAGAAAGTGGGCTCAGAATGAGGGCGTATTGCTTTTAAGTGTGTGTGTAAACTATTTCTGCACGTTAAATAACTGATAAGAGTAAAATCTTAAGGATAATGTGCCATTACAGATGTGGCTAAAGGGCATCAAGGGTGATTGTAACCTAAGTATGAGTGGTCTTAAATGAAGATTTGGAGGAACTGTTGCACTCTCCCCAGTATTGAACAAACTGACTTGATTTGAAGCGGTTAACATTTAGGTCTAAAACTAAACCAGACTTGGATTCTGGTCTGGACACCACTGCAGAGAAATGTGAAGTCTAGTTTTTCCACGTCAGACCTAGAATTGAAGCTTCTACTGAATTTTTGTAAAATGCGAAATTTGTACATTTTAATGAAGCTTGTTAAAATAAACCTGTTAAATTAAGTGACGGGTTTCTTGTCAACTGGGGCAAAATGGTTGTAAGAATAATTTGAGTGTGTATGTTTGAGATATCTTTTTTTTTTTTTTTTTTTTTTTTTTTTTTTTTTAATAGATGTATTGGTTCATATGCAAATAATATCAGGTCTTGAATGTTTACCAAGCAAACCTTCCAGGTAGAATGATTTGAGTTGCTCGACATTTTTTTGCCAGTCAAAGACAAACATCTTTGAGCAACTTTTCCCCTTTAATGCTAAATGTTTAATACTTGTAGCAGATCCCCAAACTTCTGTTTTCAGCATAAGAGACCTGCAATTGGAGCTTGTAGCAGACATTACAACATGCATTGCCAAATGGCCTGTTTTTAGATCCATTGAGTCTAACCCAAGTTTAGGAGTGGTTTAAAGGGATATTCTACCTCCGAGTGAAATTTAGTCTGCCATATTCCTGAGTGGGACAAGTGGGGATAAAACATTTTGTAACCACCCCAGTTCCCCTAATCTGGAAGTATACCTTTAGCTAAGTATAAACGATGTAAGTGAATGGCAATGCTAGCATTTCAATAATTCTAATTAATTAAAACACAGTAAAGATGTGTGGTTAGACTTCTTCTGGGGTGCTGCGTCTTGGCCTTAAAGCGGTGCTTTCTCCTAATGTTATCCCAAGTCCGAATCTGCTCCTGTAATTGTTTTCATTTGCACTCATTACGATTGAAGTTGTCATGAATAACTAAAATCATTGAGTCATTTTCATTTTTCAAGCAAAATACTAGCTGTTACCATTCACTTAACATTGTTTATGCTAAGCTAAAGCTAACTGAATACTGCTAGATCAGGAGAATGACTGGGTTGGTTACAAAACGATCAGGTATAAATGATTCACTTCCTGCTTCCTGTTCTCAAGTCTTGCGTGATGTTCTGATCGCCAACTTTCCAAGAAGTGCTCAGCGGCACTGTGTGTGTCACCTAACTTCCAAAGATCTTGGGTGCCTCGGGTGTGCCCCAGGCCCCCTTTTCTGATTCAGGACCATGGTCTCAGATTTGGAGGAGTTGATTCTGGCCATGGCTGTTGGGGAAAACCCAACTCGTCTGCCTAGCATGTACCTCAATTCTTTAGTTCCCAGATTATTTCAACTCTTTTCTAAATTTACCCTGAAGACAAATTCTTACCAATAATTGGACAAATGATATTGGACTACCAAAAGGATAATATAACCCTCCCACTGTCCAAATAGGTGTGACCCCGCGAGGAAAGTTGACCATTGAGCAGGATTGATGGTTTATCCCATGTGGCAGGGTTGAGGAGTGAGCACCACCTCACCCCTGCCACGTGGACCTCAAGGGATAAACCATCAATTCTGCTCAATGGTCCACTTTCCTTGCGGGGTCACACCCATTTGGACAGTGGGAGGGTTAAAATGATTTTATCAAACACAATATTGCTTGTTCACAGCCCCAAAGTCCTAGCAGGTTTCTTCTTGCAGAAATCATCCAAATACTCATTCCTTCACGCAGATCCAACTCTTCCACAATCCTAAGTGAGCCAAAACCAGCAACCTTCAAATGAAATGGGATTTTCAAATGATAAACTCATCTGTGACAAGAGTTAATGCTCGGAGAAACTGAAGATAAGAATTCTGTCTCCTGCTGGTCAGACTGACCTGATGTCTCAAACGTCAGGCGGCATAAAGTCCATTCTCAACATATCCCCGTGCACCCACCCTAGTGCTAGGAGAAACATTTGAGCGTGTTGGTGAGAGGTTTTGTGGTTGAGGCTTTGCTGTGGATAAATATTAGATCTCTACAGTCGGTAATCTAATCCGATGATCAGTGCCCTTTTGCAGGAAGCTCCCTGTGAAGGGTCTCATGTTGGAAATTCATTATAATTAAATGAGTGCTTAGTGCATGCACAGCAATGAGGTAAAGGGATGATTAGAAATGAGCCAAAGTGAGATCCAATCATGAAGGAAAATTTTAAAGGAGACTTATTTCCTTTTCTCATAAGACGACACTGATGTGTTAAATCTGCTTCAGCTGAAATATAACGGGATTAAAGTAGGTTTTATTTTTGCACATTAAACTGTCCTTTGCAGATTTTTAGCAGGAGTGACATGAATCCACAGGTGGTTGCATATTTAAACAGCAACTCATGCTTACTACCTTCCAGTAGATGGCAACAAATGGAAAATGGTTTCCATTCAAACATCAAAATAAACGTCTGTGTAAACCTTCTCATCATCCGTTGCACATTGCAGTCGGAACTCTAGTTTATTCATCTCTGCGTCAGCCTGGGGAACTTGCAGCAGGAATGTGGGTGTTACTGCCAATGTGAAATTAAGTGGTATATTTATGAAATAACATGAATATGAACAGCTTTTCTTAATATCCCACAAATGCACCCTTCACATCGTTGCCAGTAGTGGGGAAAGGCAGTGTTTGTGTTTGTTTAGCAGACGCTTTTATCCAAAGCGACTTACAACATGCCCTATAGGTTATAAATTGTATCTATTCAGTCTTTGGATAACTGACTTTAGTCTTTGAATGTCTGGTTATAGATTACAGATCCTGATCTGGCTCTAATGCAGAATATTATGAATCTGGTCTTGTCATAGATTTAAAAATTCAAAAGACAAGTTAGGATAGCTGCTGCACCAGTTGGCTTTCCATATTTGTCCCTAGGATTCAGGGTGGGAATGCTGCTTGTTTTTGAAAAGGACATTCAGCAAAACTCTCCTGTTGTGCTGCCATGTGGGTCTCTGTCTCCAAACACTCCTAAAGGTGTAAAATCCATCCGTCTT